TCCTTCAAATTCCAAAGATGTCATTTCTAAATTAGAAAGCAATATCACACTAAGAAAGCAAGGGAAAGGAACACCCACAGTTAGAAGGACTTGCTTATAACTCTTGCTTATTTTCATTTTAGATCTTAAAAAGAGCAGGAAATAGCAATAAGATCCTATGCTTTCCCCACGGGTCCTTAAACAGACTAGTATGATAGCAAGCAAAGCATCTATGCTGTCTCACCTGTAAGAATCACTACTCCAAATGAAAGCTGGCAAGGAAAGCAAGTTTTAGAGTGTCATGGATTAGCAGTTCCTAGAACTAATAATCTGAGAGCTAGAGTTGCCATAAAGAAATCACAGCATATCTAATATCACCTGAGTCCCTAATATTAGATATCAAAGAAAGAGAATTGATTATTTTCAGCAGATGTCTGCTGCCACAGGGTACAAATAGGGTGGCATTTGTACATCTTTACAAACCTTTTATTTAAGAAAGGATTATTATCTTGAAAGAAAGCAAAAAAGTTCAATTACATATTAAACATTTTAATTCATCCAGTCAAATAATACATTTACATTGTAGCTTTCCCTACATAGGAAGGCTACAGTGTAACTCTTCCCAAAAGAATCCAGCAGCTATATTGGGCTACCACTCCCATCAGCCAATGACATTGGCTTTATAGGCAGAGAATCAGAGAAGTTGTAGATAAACATATCAATAGAGGGGCAAGATTGGGGAAGATCATCGTAATCATTTATTGCACAAAGTACAGGGTAAGAAGGAAAATAAAGTTCAAATGTCCAGATTTTAAGATAGTAACAAATTATCATTTTCAATTGTTTTAATAATTTATAAATAAATAATTTTGTTCTCGAGAATACTAAACCTGAACATAAATGGCAGCTATTATTTTTGTCTTTAAGTTCTAGGACTTCTTAAAATAAGTTTAAATAAGTTAGTTCAAAGACATTCATTTTAGAATGATTGTACTCTGTCCAATCATGCTTATTTTCATGATACAAAAAATGTGCTTTTGATAGCTACTCAAAGAATAAAATAAAATAAAATAAAATAAAACACTTGAAACCCTGTTGTGGGAATTAACACTATGGAATTATTAACAAGATATTCTTGCCCAGAAGCAGAACTGAGTTCACTGAGATGCACTTTTAAGTAAATTTGCATAGGATTTATAAACTATTGTATAATTGGCTTCAGAACTGTAGCTTTAAACAACTCGCTTTAAAATTCCTCCCAATATTAATAGAATTCCTTAGACTAAAAAAGAAATGGTTTCAATGTAAACGTAAGTGAATTCTGTTCTTGTTACAGCCTTTGAATTAGAGGTGCTTCAAGGGAGCTGGAGCTATAGAAGTACAGAAATGTAGGCTGCTTTTCTGCTACTTAACCAATGGAAATAGGCCTCAAAGAGTTAAAATATTTCCCTGAATAGCTGATGTACTTTCTGTGACCTTGTTCGGTACAGAGGCTTGAAATCCAACACAATTTAACCACTTCCATCTATGCAGCTATAAAGGAGAGCCCTTACTGAAGACTGCAAATGGAGAAATCACTTCAAAAGCCAACAGTGCTCTCATTCTGAGTTGTGAAAATTATTGACTTCATCACTGAGGGCAGCTCACAGGATTTGTGAATATGATACGATATTGCCTTTTTCTATATTCTAGCTAATTGCTGGTGTTGGGTGACTATTGATTGCCTCATTGCTTAAATTGACTATTCTTGTTTATTGTGTCCAATCACTGCAAGCTAATAAAAAAAAGCTCATCTACAAAAGGTGACTAGCAGTATCTTTGTAAAAATATGCTGTACCTATAACAGGCTCAGGGGGCACATTGATTGTTTTGTGGATCACACTGAAAGATACACAAGCCCAGTTTTCAGATGCAAACTGTGGCAATTAGCTGCATGGCGTATGATTGCAAAGTATTGAATCTTGTTGCACTTGGTTCATGTGAGGCAATCTCTATTTGAGATCTGGCGATGTTCCCTAAACTAGGAGAGAGATTATTCAGTATGTTATCCAACAGTTGATGACAAGGTCCACAACTTAGTTGTGAGCTGTTATACAGAAGCAACTCTCCACACTGGACTGAGCATGTTCCAATGCTTAATTATTATTTAAAAATTATAATTGCTAAATAAAACCAGCACTATCTTATTCTTGGACTTTTAAAACACTGCACAGGAAATTTTTTATAAATAACGCAACTGATTCTTTTCTTTCTTCGCAATTATGGCATGTTAAATTATTGATATGGTGACCATAAGGACAAACCTGAAAAGGGACTGTCTGAAAGAAAGTCATACGGATAAACAAATTTAATCGTTTACAACTTTGCTTTACAAAGGAAAATTCAAGAGCAAAACCAGGAAGGACTAACAAAATGCGCATTTTAATAAAAACATCTAAAATTATACAATATACATACATTTGTTTTAAAAAGTTAATTTCAATTTCTGTATTTTTCATAGGAATGCAAAAGATTGTCCATTAAGTGGTATCATTTGTACAATAAAATTCAAATGAGTTAAACATCACTGAGGTTAAATTAATATTGGTTGAACTCAGGATGATGGTCCAGGGATTTTTTTTTTTTAAATTATGTTCTATTTGATGCTAAGAAACAAGTCTTTGAAAGCAATTTTTAATCTTGTCTTTTCTGAAGGAACTGTGTTCTGTAAACTACAAAGGATATTATTCATATTTTAGGGATTTCTTCTTTTCTCCATTTATAGAATTTAGTGCCTATCCCAATAATCTCTGTTATTTGTTTTCAATAGTATGCTGAATATTATTAAGTAATATAACTGAACACCTCTTGAGAGATGGCAAATAAAGTAAGTTTAACTTTGGTTCCATATTATTAGGTTCTAAATAAAAGTGAGTTAATGCTTAGATACAATATTTTTTATTTATTTTATAATGTGAGATCATTTAGAAAAGTTTTAACTTTGCCCCTTGCTTTGATTGAATTTAATAGTATCCATTCAACCTTTCTCATATACATATAGCTATAAGCATCCTTTAGTTCCAGTTGGTGCTTTTTTTCCTGATAAAGCAGGTCAAGGATTGTGGCTAATCTAGAACAAAATTACTCCAGCCAAGGACATACGACCTTTTTACATCTGGAAGCTGCACTTAGCATTTGAGTGGTGCATCAAAGGCTATGCACTGCAAAATATGTGAGCAAAGAATTTGACAGGATCAGGACAGTAAATGTTTAATTAACAAATGTGCTTATGTATTGGATGGACATGCCCACCTTCAGTTATCCGTTTCTTAACTAGACTAATGGTGCAAGGCTAAAGGTATCTGCTCAAAAGTAGCTTTAACGAGAACTAATTTATCATTCATTATGAACTCACAAAATAAAGGGCTAATGGAATCAGGATAATCAATACATTCTCTGCAACGGTTGCATGAACCAAAAAAGAATTGTTTCAGTCAGGTCAGAAGTATTTGCTTTCTATGGGACTTTTTACTCCTCTCATGAGCTAAATATCATGGCGACCTACACAGTATGCTAGCAGTATTCCACATTTAATTAGGTGCCATTCTTATTAAAGATAATTAATCTCATTTAAGCATAGGCAATTCATAACATACTGCAGCTTTTACAATTCCATAGAGTGGTCAAATTGTTACAGGTTACAGATATATTAGAAAATATCAGCTGTTTCTGGTTTGCTTGGTTTTTTAAAAAGCATTGAACAAGCATAGCAAGGTGGATGGTTTGTTTGAAATTGCATGCTTTTTTCTGCAATGGAGAAATCACGGATCTCAAGCATGCAGTATAATATGATTATCTATTTCATTCTGCATTCTTTGCTCTATGTCATTCAATGTATTTTTGATCCATGCAGTGATGAAATTCTTTAGCAACTGCCTTGAATATTATCTAACCTGACTGGAAATTAACTGAATTGACAAACTTACACTCTTAATATTAAATATATGAACAAAGAGTATGTTCCACTTATTTGGACTATTTCCAGAGTAACTATGTCTGACTTTGGCTAAAGTCAAAGCAAATAAAGCAGGATCAGATCTTGTTAATATTTGGGAGACCAGGGGCTGTTGCCTTTTAGCAGGTGTCAAAGCTGATTCAAAGGAGACTTTTCTTTTTCCTTTTCAACTTATCATATGGAAAATTAGTTTTAAATTAGAATGAATTGGTAAATATACAGTAGTTGCTAATTGCCAAAATAGGACTGGACTTTCTACTTGCAGTTACATGAAATGCATATAAGGCACAGCTTTTCTTATAATGTTTGTCATGTGATGTCAGTGCACCCAATGAAACATTAAAAATATTCTGAACTGAAAGTACAGGTAGTTCTCGACGTACAACCACAATTGAGCCTCAAATTTATGTTGCTAGGCGAAATATTTAAGTGAGTTTTGCCCCATTTTATGACTTTTCTTGCCACCATTGTTAAATGAATCATTGTAGTTGTTAAGTTAGTAACACAATTGTTATGTGAATCTGGCTTTCCCATTGATTTGACTTGTCAGGTCGCAAAAGGGGAATTACATGACCCCGGGACACTGCAACCGTCATAACTATAAGTCAGTTGCCAAGCAGCTGAATTTTGATCACATAACCAAGGGAAAGCTGCAATAGTCATAAGTGTGAAAATGGCCATAAGTCACTTTTTTCAGTGCCGTTGTAACTTTGAACAGTCACTAAACGAGCTGTTGTAAGTCGAGGACTACCTGTAGTCATTTGACTATTTTTATAGCAGAAGATTATCAGAAAAGAAAGAGAAAATAACTATCTGTGTGTGTGTGTGGGGGGGAAACACTATTGCTGTGAAAATTTCTCAAAACAAAAACAAACAATTACCAGAAGTGACATTTCACTAATATTCAGACTGTGAAGATGAACTGACTGATGGAGAGACACAAATCACTTGCCAAAGCAACACTAAAGAACAACAAAGTTGTTAACAAACAGCATGGCAAACAGAACGGAAGTTGAAAGCGTCCCACCTGTGTCTGTTGAGGGATATTTACAAAGCTTGGATCCCGTGGTCCAACACTGACGAATCGATTTGCAGGGGAGGTGCTGGGTGTTGAATAGGCTGTGAAGGGAAGGGACACATGCGTTCAGGAAGCAGCACTAGATCACAAACAAACAACAACAACAACACTGATCTCAGAGCCACCCAAACAAATGTTGAACATGAAAATGGAGTCACGTTATAAGGATCAAGAATCTTGACTTAGGACAACTGGATTTCAAAAGATGGAGAAATAAATATGGACATCAGTGGGCAACAGAAGAGTATCTTGCATTTTAATGTCAACTAAAGCTACGTATTTGGAGTTAAGCATGGAAAGTTAATTCAAATTGCTTTTGTTGTACAAAGATCCATAGGCAAGAAGTCTTGGGGACTGCAATAATATGTTTGAGTGACCAGTGCTTTAAACTGTTCTAAGTTCAAAACAAATCACTTCTATTCAAAAGTGATAAGATGAATGGCTCATAAGCATAATATAATAAATTGCAAGTGTAGTTTTTAAATAGGCATTTATAGAAAATGGCATTTATGTAAAGCTATTATCCTTAATAGTCAATTTTGGCTCCATTACTGGCAATTTTTAAAATTTAAAAAATTACAAATATTTCTGGCTCTCTAGCTGTTATAGCACATGATTTGGGGCTATGACTATACCACCTCTATTATCAACTAGTTTATAATCAAAATCTGATTCACTGCAGCGGGCACAGAAATTCTAAATATGGTAGAACGGAAGAAGATTGTTTCTGATTTATAAAACTTTACTGACCATATCAAGGATTCTTTTTTAAACTATGCCTGAATAGACTGCTCCAGATTCAGAAGCACAAAAAGCACTGGATCCTGCATAGGTTGTTGCTTTTTATATATCCCCATAGATTTGGGAGAGATAACTTACTTCGAAAAAAAAAGTATTGCTATTATTTCTATATTATTATGCTAATTACTGTTAAAAACATTTACTATACTATTATTCAATTTCTATTAAATATTCCCTCCATACTTTATTTAATATACTTTATTTATTTAATTCTATGACTATTCTATTACAACATTGCCTCTTTACTATTACTATGCTCTTCCACCTTCTGCCTTAAATACTTCTCTGAGATTTCTAATGTTGTTTTTCCTTCTCTATTATTGGCCAGTATAGAGTACAGGCAGCCTTTGACTTACAACAGTTCATTTAGTGACCACTCAAAGTGGCACTGAAAGGTGACTTCACACTTACAACCTTTGCCGCATCCCCATGATCCCGTGATCACAATTCAGGCACCTGGCAACTGACTCATATTTATGACAGTTGCACAGTGTCCCGGGGTCATGTGATCTCCTTTGGCGACCTTCTGACAAGCAAAGTCAATGGGGAAATCAGATTCACTTAACGATCATGTTACTAAGTTAACCATTGCAGCGATTCACTTAACAACTTTGGTGAGAAAAGTCGTAAAACGGGTAAGAATTCACTTAACAACTGTGTCACTTAGCAGCAGAAATTTTGGGCTCAATTGTCGTTGTAAGTCGAGAACTACCTGTACTTGCACCTTTCTATGTCCCGCTTTGCTTTGCTGTGGCTCTACAATTCTTTTTCTCTCCACAATCCACTCCCTTTTATTCAGCTGCTTTTCTGTTTCCTGATGGTTGCACAGCTTCTAAAGCACACATCGACTCTGTTCTCCCTCCTGTACCTTTTTCAAGGTTGTAGCTTTATTGTCAACTCTGTTGTGTTGACGCTGGGGAAAAGAAATAAATAGGAGGGGAAGAAGGCAGCCCAGATTTTCTAAGCAGCCTGCTCTTCCACAGACTGTTGTTCTGTTAAGGGGTTGGGCATGACAAAATGAGAATAGAGAGGCCTTCTTCATGATTGTCAATTTGGGAGTTTTTTTCCTCTCCTTTTCCACTGATTTATCTGAGAGAAAGTAGTTGAGGAACTTGATAGTGAGGGCTTCTTGACTACAAAGATGACTTGAATTCAGCAGATCAAAGAATTCATTTCATGTGCCTTTGCTGCCTTCCCAGGGTGTCCTATTTTGATACCAACTCTGGTAGAAACATGTATTTTGCTAGAGAAGGCAAAGGAATTTATTTTTGTTGGTGAGTTAGGGTTCTTATGTATATAGTTTTGGAAACACACCGTGATTACAATCAGAAAGCAGCTGCCATAAGAGACTTGCACATTCATAAAATTGGTGCTATAATCGTCATGGCCATTTTTAAAAGGGGAAGAAACCCAAAGTTTTGGAACCCAAATCATTAATAAAAATAAAAATCATACTTGTGATCCCTTCCTTCCTTCCTTCCTTCCTTCCTTCCTTCCTTCCTTCCTTCCTTCCTTCCTTCCTTCCTTCCTTCCTTCCTTCCTCCTTCCTTCCTTCATCTCTCCCTTTCCTCCTTCCTTCCTTTCCTTCCCTCCTTCCTTCCTTCCCTTCCCTTCCCTTTTAACATATCAGATTGGATAGCAAATTAACACAGATTCCAAAATGCCAAAACTCCAATCAACTGCACTAATGCACATGTATAGCTTTCCCTGATATATGCACATTTAATTTTTAATACATGAGCATCCTCTTTACTTTTAGAGGGATTTTTTAAATATACCATTGTAATAAGTCTTTAGCAGATTTAAAATTAGAGTCACTAATTGATTTATTTACTGCTGTTTTTCAACTCTTCATACTATTCAAATACAAATATAAGAATATACTGTATGATACTGTTACATATTATTATAAGTAATGTTGCAGATTTTAGAATAATAATTTGTGATTAATATAGAATAAAACATGTTCTCCCAAGTAAGTATATACATTCTTGTTTAAAAAAAATAAAAACTATCTATGTGTGAAGACTGGGGCTTTGTGCATTATTCCAGTGTCCTAAAAAAGCAGTTAATGGCATTAATTAGATATTCAAAGTAATGATCTCTCATAAAATACTATGCAACTCCAAGAAATAGAATATATAGGTAGGGAACAGTCAGGAATTTAAGTGAGCTTCTCATTGGAAAAAAAAATAATCAGAAATAAACAATATATTTCAGCAAGCACCATCATAAAAAGCATGACCATAAGAATTAATTGTGTAATGTATGCATCCACCCTCCACATATATACATACATAGTGTAAAAATTCTTAGATATTATATCATTTTATCAAAAGTCTTCTGCTCAAGATTTGGATACACGAAACCAGTCATATTGGTTAAATGAACAAATAATATGACCTGTGCAGGTAATACCCATGTTCTTACATCTTTGTGTTAAAAGCAGTCTGTAACATTATCAAAGCAACTTACTACAAGTAGAAAGGATACAAGTGAAACCTAATTTTATGTGCCAATAAATTAGCTGTTTACTAATTAGCTACTAAACAAGGCGGCTGAAGCTCATCACATCAGATCTGAAATAACTTTTGCTATAACGTAATATAATAATGATTACTTCTTATTTATGCATCATCAACACAAATTCCTATTTATATGTGTTTTCAAATATTTTAATCCAATTTTATACGCTGTTTGTCAGTCTTGAAGTTTATATTCGTAAATCTTTTTCCTAATACTGCAAGCAGTCAGTCCCGTTTTGAAGTAAATGCAGACTGAATGATTCCAAAACATCTCTAATATAGTTATTAACTTAGTAGTAACTTTGACACTTCTAAATCAGAGTTTTTCAAGCTTGGCAACTTTCACTTGTGCGGACTTGTACCACAGAATTCTGATAATGCTGATTGGGGAATTCAGGGTGTTGAAGCCCAGGTTTGAAAAAAACGGATCTAAATGAATAATAATAATAATAATAATAATAATAGGTCCCGGGTAAGGACTCGATAGGTAGACAAAATGCCAAATCCAGTTTGAACATCTGGCTGACTGTGCGATGATCCATAATAATAATAATAATAATAATAATAATAATAATAATAATAATAATAATAATAATAATAATGGAAGGGACCTTGGAGGCCATCTAGTTCAACCCCCTGCTCAGCCAGGAAACCCTATACCATTTTTTGACAAATGGCTGTCCAGTCTCTTCTTAAAAACTTCCAGTGAGCATTCATAGCTTCTGGAGGCAGGTTGTTCCACTGATTAATTGTTCTAACTGTCAGCAAATTTCTCCTTAGTTCTAGGTTGCTTGTCTCCTTGATTAATTTCCATCCGTTGCTTCTTGTCCTGTCTTCAGGCACTTTGGAGAATAGCTTGATTCCCTCTTCTTTGTGGCAACCCCTGAGATATTGGAACACTGCTATCATGTCCCCCCTCGTCCTTCTCTTCATTAAACTAAACATACCCAATTCCAGCAACTGTTCTTTATGTTTTAGCTTCCAGTCCCCCAATCATTTTTGTTGCTCTTCTCTGTACTCTTTTACTCTGTACTTTTTTCTCTGTACTCTTATTTATCTATTATGTTTCTGATTCTATTTAGAGAGCAAAACCACAGATTCTGCATGCATGAGGTCACGACGCAGAAGAGTACAGGGTTTATAATGAATGAACGACAGAAATATAGACAGACAACAAAAAATAAATTAAGACACTTCACACTCTCTTAACATCCTCTGAATGCCACAATCATTGCCATTAGGAAATATTTCAATCGTCAATAATCTGTTTTAGAGAAGCCCTTAAGAAATGAAAAATGCTGATCTGAAATAATAGTTGTTCTGGTTGCTATTATTCTTACATATTTACCCTTCCAAATATCTGAAATGTAACAGACATTATCTCCAGTTGCTTGGTCCCAGATAATGTATCTGGGAAGGATTAATGTTTTAGAGATGTTACACATTAGAGCTGACAGCACCGAACCAGAAGTTCTAATTCAATGTACCAAAACATGGAACTTGTGATTTGCTTTTCATTTCCTGTGGCACAAAGGGTAGTCTTAAAATTCCTTTTTTTCTGAAATAATTATTACTTTCAAAGAAATATAGTCAACAAAGCAAAATCCCAGGCAGCTTTAATCTAATACAGCATGCATTTTCATCTTTCCAAAGGGGATGGCATGCACGATACAAGCAGGTCTGCTATTGTTGTATGATTGGTGATAATATTTGATCTTCTACAGATGCTGTACTACAGATGCAGACAAGAACCCGACAGAAGAAATATGAAAAATAATCCTCCAAAGCCAGCCAGTTCAACTACTCACCTTGTTTTAATGTAAGATTCATCTACTATGGCATATCATTCATTTTTTTTCCAAATAATAATTTATCACCTATTTGTGATTGTGGGAAGTTCCCATCTGAGCTTTCAGGAGGCTAACTGTGAAACTGCCTTCAGTCATGTTTCAGATTCCATAGCTATACAAGTTATAAATCCCTGGGAGGATTAACAAATCCAGCAATCAGGAAATTTCAGTTTTATTTAATCTAGTTTAAATCAAAGCTTCAGGCACACAGCAGCTGTGACCCATCATTTGAAATGCATTTGATGAAAAAAAAAATCAAAGAAGAAACAATTAGGAATGCAATTTATTGTGTTTCAACAACTCTTTGTCTTACAGGCCAGAAACAGAAATAAAAGGTGTGAAAAATCAGGCTATAAAAATATATGTTTTCTTCATGCAATGTACTTTTACACTGTACATTGTATAGTACATTATACTGCAATCATTACTTTTACTTTACTTTCACTTGTCAGAGTGAACAGCAACATTCTTTTTTAATACAGCATTTGGAACTTACAAAGCATTTTATATCATTTTCTTATTTCAGTCAAATAGTCTGTCATGAGTGAGTAAGACAAAGTGGATGTGCTGAATCTACGAACTATCAACATTAGTGGTAGTGATAGTAAAGGCTAAAAGGCCTTTAAATTTAGTTATCATTTTATTAATAGCCTTGAATAAAGTGACTGTTACCTTCTTAATTATCAAGATGGGTACTTAACTTAATTCAATCAGTGCTCTTTAAAGTCTTCTTTTTATTAGCATGTTTTTACCTCTTTCAGAGAAGAAAAAGTGGTTGTCTAAATGTGAAATATTTTTATTCCTACATATGGATCTAAACAGATTAGAGCATCAGTGTGATATGGTGTGCCAAAGTCTTAAGCTTTCAAAGACAAGACTGCAGATTATGTCTTTGCTCATTCATTTATTCATTTATTGGCTTCACACTGCTAAAAATGGCTTCTTTGCAATGAACTAGAACAAAGAATATTACTGCAGACCCAAACAACAGCTAAATCACCATAGCAGCTTGACTGTAGAGTTGTCAGATTCTTTCTCTATAGTAAGGATGGCCCAAAAATGAGATTTTAAGACTTTTTGCTCAGAGATCTTTGCTTATGGGTGGTACTTTTAAAGATGCTTCAAAACTAGTTTTAAATTAATGACAATTTCTCTTGATATTTTTTCCTTCTTTTGGTAATACTATTGCAATAACTTATTACTAATTTCATTTTTTCTTAGTCTGATGACATGTATTGTTGCTCTCAGAGTTGAAGTAAAGACCACAAATCACCAAGAAATTTCCTCTCCCCTTTGGAAGCTGTAAAGCATTAGGCCAGCATGACCATTAGACCAGAGATGCATTCTGGCGATCAGTATAAAATATTAGAAAAATTGGGCATGAGATGTTTCTGCATTGTTGAAAATTGTAAAACAGTGACAAATTTTGACAAGGAAAAAAGCTTATGCACTTTTAATTGAAGGCATGTGATATTAATAAGAATCAGACATACTGCATATATCATATTGCTTGCAACTCTTCTCCCCTCAAAAAATATGCTATTTTGCCGAAAACTTCCATTGCTTATTTGCACGGTCATTTTTCCCCCTCATTAAATCATTAGTTGATGTACTTATTGAGAGGAAAGTTTTAATTCAATTTAGGTTTCATTTTACGGAACTATGAAAACATAAATCTCTTTCAAACCATGTCAGCTTCTTGTTTCCTCCTTCTGGCTCTACTTACTGGGTGATGTGGGAGAGGCGGCACCTCCTTCTGTTGATGTGGTTGGAGGCTTTGTGTCTGGCACTGGAAGAGGCACAGGCCTAGCCATTGGGGGAGGAGGCGGTGGTGGCAACATTGGTGTGGGAAGGAATGGATTGTGCACCTTGCCTTGGCTGCTACCATTGGGCTGTCAGATACAGAAGAAAAATGAACCATTAATTGCTTCTGGAATCGAATGACTGGGATAAATACACATGGCATAAACATAATATGGCTAAATATTTAAATGGACAAGAAAAACGCATGTCAATCAAAAAGAATGCATACATTCAGTTTATATAAAAGAATACCTGAGAGAACATCTTATGAATGAAGGCAAACATACATGGGATAATGATGTGGGATTGAATTTGGGTTGGTCACCAGGACCAGAGATTTACTTTTATTTATAAGAACATCTTACATTGTTTTTCATATAGTTTATACTGCAGGGACAATAGCCAGACCTCAAAGTAGCAATTGGTAAATGAATCTGTATAAAACAAACATAACACATGGTGATTCTCTGATGTAACTTCCATACCTTTAATACCTTCTTAAGAAATTATGCAATACAGCTGGTAGCTATTTTTCTTCTGCACTTTGTTGTTCTATGGATCCAACTCTAAGGTTTGGATCTAAAACACTAACATTTTTATTATATGTAGTGCTAAATTGCTAAAAGCAAGAAAAATTCTGCTATCAGAAATGTAATGAGTTAAAATAACTATGGCCATCATTATTTTTCACTTGTACTCTACTGTGAGACAACCAAATATTATTTTAGATAAGGCTATACACCAAGGTAGTAATTTGTCCATACAAATGGAATGTTATTCTAGTAACCTGAAGATAATTGTTAAATTTAACAACAACCTAAGATAATTCAACCAAAATTTTGGAACACTGTTTAATTTTTCAGTGATAAGGAAAGAAGATAATAGCTCCTAGATATAACAGACCATAAGAAACTGTACTTTTATCTTCCTAAGTTCAAGTGCTGGTCAAGTAAATCTAAAATGCTACAAGAAGCCATTAAAAAAAAAAGTAAATGTGGCTGATTTAAAACTGCTGTTTTTGATTCATTTTTCTACAGAAATAATTAATAAAAATTACTAGTGTTCTATATTTTGAGTTAACCTCGGAAATCCTGGAATCAGATCATAAGAAACTAAATAGTTCTCTTTTGGGATCATGTTAATTGACGCTTTTTCTGAACATGAATGTGAAGTTCAAATCATATATATTATTGGGCAATGATCAGATACTCTATAAGCAGAAAATTGCTGTGAATAAGCAATGATTGCAACATGGGGAATAATAATAATAATGCAAATACTAGCAATATAATAATGTTTGATGCGAATGAGAAGATGTTAGAATTAGAGAGAAAGAAAGTATACGCATATAGGACTGTCCATGGGGAGAACAAAAAGTCAAGATGACCATCACAATTATGTGAATGAAGCCCCACTTTTTGGTATTTATGATAATGTTGCATGAATGTACAAAGGTGGAGATCTTGACTACTTTAGCCCCCTATGGATGCCATTGTCTGCATATACATCAATCAGTGTTTCTCAACCTCAACAGCTTTAAGATACGTAAAGTTCAATTTATAGAAATTTTGGCTAGAGATTTCTGGGAATTGAAGTCCACATATCTTAAAGTTACTGAGACTGAGAAACACTGATATGCATGTATCACTCCCCACAAACATACTAATTTAGAAAGTGGTGCTTCAGCAGAGAAGGGAAAAACATCCTCATCTCTTCCGCTACCTTTGCTCAGCTGAGACATAAAAGTAGCTTCTTCTACTGGACATAGACTATAATAATTAGCATTTATGAATGAACTTGAGAAGGCAACATTCCTAACAGAACCAAAGAGCAGTACAAATGTATTCCTCAGAGTGTTAGGCTTTGTACATCTTGTGTTGTGAGCAAGAGAGGTCCGATTTAGATGTAAGTAAAATTAGAGTTCGGAAGTACATTAAAGAGCTTTTTCCTTGTGGAATGTCTAGTCTTTTAATGGAACCAACAATTACGGTGGAATGAATAGGTGGCAAGTACACCTGTTCATTGTAATTCCTCTCTGGACAAAGAGGGGACTTGAGATTGTCCATGAATGCTCTGGATAGTAGTCTCCGGTGGGTTTAGAACTCTGGGAAACAAAGAATAACTGTGTTGCTCAAACCATAATTGGTGCCTTTACAATAACACTGTATTTATATACCTCCTTTTCTTTTGGAAATGGCTTGTTTCTGCTATTAGAATCTTTGTAACAAAATGTTCTATAGCACCAGGTGAGTTTCCTTCAGCCCTTAGCAAAAAAAACTTTTAAATACAAGTTTAAGGACTTATTTTTTTCCTTTTGAAATAAATAGCAAAAGAGTGATTAAAATTGATTTGACTTAAATTTCATATAAAAGTTACAAACAGACTAAAGATCCAGATGGATTTGAAATATGATTTTAGAAATAATTATAAGAATTTTTCCTCTGTGGGAAAATGCTTTGGTTTGAATTTTCTTGGATGATACTTTGAAGGTTGGCCATTAGAGAAAACCAAAAGAAACTAAAGCAGAAAAGCTCTTACATTCAACTTAATAATATAAAAGGAAGCAAAATATATTAACATTGGATATATTGAAGGATATTTTTGAACAATGGACCCAGAAATTAATTTAAAAATGTCTGTTCTATAAGCTGTATTTAAAAGATACAGTTACTGTATGAAAGAGGAACAAGCTTTGTCTGACAAAATTGGGACTGATTCAAAGTTAGAGTTAAGAATGACAGGCAACAAGAATGATATGAAAAAATGCTATCTATACTTAGCATATAAAAGAAATCAGCTGATCTCTTAATAATTAAAAGGACTATACAAATAACATAGGATGATGCTCCTATGTTGGACATACAAAAGAGGCTTGTTAAAACTTTGAAGAATTTTGTGTGAAAGGAAAAGACAAGACAAGAAAAGACAAGAAATCAAATTCTGGGACATTATCTGAGAGGAGTAAAGATCAAGACTGTTGTAAAAAGGAAGATAAAACTTGATTTATTTAATCAAAGTTAAAATAGATATATTGCTATCTCTGGGAAGCCTTAATGGATTTACTTGACTAGGGCTAAATTATTAGGATTTAAGGATTTGTTTATAAATAAAAAATTGGATATGGGATAAAGAGATCATTTGTTGTATTTTAAGAGAAGGTGGTTAAGTTACTAAAATTGTTTACTTGTGAAGAAGGGGAAAGTCATTTTTGTATGTATTTTTCTTTTGTTATATTATTTTTCTTTCTTTTCTATTTTTTGTTTTTGTTTCTGCTCTTTTTATTTTTATTCTTTGATTTTTGTTAGTTTTTAATCGTTTAATTGTAATTTTAAATAAAATTAATATTAAAAAAAAGAAAAAAAGCTTTTCCTCATGTGCTTTTTCCTCCTTGACATGGTCACAAAATGAAGAACTGGCAGTTTTTGCTTCCATTCCACTGCAATTAAAAGTTTCACTGAACCTCTAAACTGGCTGTGGGCAGCCCAAATCCTCTGTGGCATATTGGTTCCTTGATTTCTCTGTGGCTGCAATTCAGGTTTTCAAACATTCTGGAACAGGATCATGCAGACTCTGTGATGCTAATCAGCAGCAGAGTAGTATGTCAGAAAAAGGCCAGAGCATCTCATAAATCTTTTGGTAGCTACTTTGAAATCTTCTACAGGTTATCAATAATTTTTGTAAGTAGTATAGTTTTGTCTGTTGTTAATCTGTTAATAAAAATGCTTTTTTGTGTATGTAAGAAGAATTTGATAATATGTGATCAATATTTGACAATTCAACTGTGTCCCACTTTCCAAATAAGTAGTAAACATACTCAGTAAGATATAATAGTAGTTTTGGGTTTTCAAGGCTTACATAGACCTGGGATGCTTTTATACTTCCCTGTTTGCCTCCTTCACAGTGTAATCCTAAGAGCTTATTCAGAGTAAGGTATCTGGGTCCTATTTGTGATAGTATTAAATACTTTTGTGGCACTGTCTAAGTGGTATTTAGGTCAATATGAACTGTTAATTTATTTATAATCTTTGATCCATTGTAAAATGTTAATATATATACAGGTAGTCTTCATCTTACAATAGTTTAGTGACCAAAATTACAACAGCATTGAAAAATGTGACTTATGACTGTTTTTCACAGTTATGACCTTTGCAACAATGCCATGATCATGTGATCAAAATTCAGATGCTTGGCAACTGGTTCATATTTATGACCATTGCTGTGTCCCATGGTCATATGATCACCTTTTGCAACCTTCTGAGAAGCAAAGTCAATGGGGAAGCCAGATTCGCCTAACAACTCGGTTACTAACTTATCAACTGCAGTGATCTTGTAACAACTGTGACAAGAAAGGTCGTAAAATGGAGCAAAACTCACTTAACAAATGTCTCACTTAACAACATAACTTTTGGGCTCAATTGTGGTCGTAAGTCGACAACTACCTGTAGTATGTTGCATTCATCACTTACATCAAACTTTAATAGATTTCATTACTGGCAAAAATTGATTAAATTCTAGCATGTAGAAGGTGTAAATTATGGGCACAAGGTAGCCAATTAACGACCACTTAAATTATATTAACTCCAATCATAACATGAATGAAACATATTTATTTTGGGATGGTTTAGGCCCCTTAAACACTCTGATTTTCTTATGTGTACAAATCTGTTCTTATCATTCCATGGTTATAGAAACAAAATTTCTGAAAAAAAGTAGAAACAGCTTCCTTACATTTAGGAACCCCACCTGTCCAGCCTGCTGACCAGCGTCCGGGCAGACAAGTTGGACAAACTCTTTCAGAGTCTCCTGAGGATGATAGCGAATTGCTGGGTGTGAGAAGTATGGCCCAGGCTGTTGAATAATGGGTGATGTTGGAAAATGAAGAGTCGATGGTGTTGCGTGTGGACTTGCTAGAAGAAAGAAAACAAAATACATTATAAAGAATAGATTTTTGGAATTTGATAAAAACAAATTATCTGATTTTGTGCTTTTTATGTTGCTTTCTTAGGAAATCTTAAAACAAATGTTCTGAAATGTATATGTCCTAAAGTACAGAGCTGATTTCTAGTAGTGATTTTCATAATACGTTGGGTCATACTAAATTCTACTTTACTTGAAGTATAAAGGCAGAGTGTAAATACAGCCAGATTTTAAAATGTCTCTTCTGCATTTTTTAGTGGTCATCATTTATAAAGGAATCAGCAGTCCTTGGTAAAAGTGACGACTATTCATTACCTTAAGAGCCTATCTAATGAATCCAGCAATAAAAAATGTATCTGGGAGATTACAGTTGATTTAATTGACATTCTGCATAATTCTGGTTTGCACACAGGGAGCAGTTTTACTTTGAGTTATAAATGGGCAGTAACATAACAGGGATGCTCTTGCAGCTTTATTTATTTCATTTTTTCAGTTCAGCTGCAGAATATTATTTTTATACAATTTGCGTTCTTGTATTCCCCCCCCCCAAAAAAGTTTGGATTTTAACTCTTATAAGTTAGAAATGAATAAACATGTTCCCAGGTAAGTTTTAGGAATACTGCTTCAAGGAGGGTAAAGTGCAGTCATTGAGAAATCGCAAAGCGATCGCAACACAAAAAGCAGTCCGTGAGTTGTTTTGAATTGGCCCAAGGCAAAAAAAACAGGCCAGCAAAGGTGGTTTGCTGTCAATTATAAATTTGGAAGGAAAACTTAAATGCTCTTGAAGTCCCAGCAGTGCCATTGAATGGCTTAATACTGGGCCATATGTAATAAGAAAGGTGTCCTCAGGGTCGAATCGGTCTCTCCATCTGAAGTACTTCAATTCTGAGGTGACCCATGCCTGGGAATAAATAGCAACTGGAAAATTAGATCCCTTCTGCAACCATCCCTGTACTATAAACCAGTTTCCTCACATCCCATCTGATCCCATCATGAGAGGACTGAAGGGTTAGAAAAGAAAACGAAAACTAAACAGAAATTTAGGGAATCTGGAGCTCAGCCAATCTAAGACAGTTGCTAGAAGGCAACTGCTCATTTCCAGGATTTAAACATTCGTTAGAAAGACAAGGATTGAACAAAAATAAACTCTATGGAAGATGCCAAAAGAACCTAAGATTCCATATATGCAACACACAATTAAAAAGAGATAACAAACAAAACCATAACACAATTTTAATTCTAGCCGAACAACTCAATTTTCAAACAAATTAGCTAAATCTTTATAAAAAAACAAAACAAAACAAAAAACTCCCCACCTACCAACCATCCTCTAAGTGTTAATAGCTGTTCTGTCCCTGACAAAACTACTTTTTCTTAGTATCAATAATGTTGAGGCTTTGAATATTTAAGAAATGTAATTTATTCAAAATGAAAATAATACCTTAATAAAGGTGACTGAATCCTACACAATAAATTCTCATTTGTTGCACTCTAAGATGAGGTCTTTGAATTTTGCTGATTTACTTCATTTTAGCATAGTGTATCATACAAGCCTATTACATTTATACAAAATAGCTCCTATGATTTATTTCAATTTATTTCCAAAATATACACTCAACCTCTCTCAGCCATCTTTATTAAACTTTTATGGCTATCTATGTCCATGCGCTGCACTTGTAAACCAGAAAGAACAATAAAAGTTATAAAAGTTATTGTGTATTCAAAGAAACGTATTGAATGAGGCTCAAAGTGTGCTGAATATTCAGGAGATACTAACATACAGACAACCTAGTGATGAGCAGCAAGGGTTGAATGAATCAATTTAGGAGATAAAAATACATTATTTGTCTTTCACTGATATTTATAAGAGAAGTTTAATGAAATTTCTATAAAGATAAATGGTTCAGTTATTCTGCCCAAGGTACTAGTTGTTTATAACTTCCTTCCTGAAATTTATTCACTGAAACCAACTCTGGCTCCACAATCATCAGAACTGGAGATCTCAATGTAATTCTCTTTTCCTTGTTTGTCCAGCAAATCTTCACATAGATAAAGGGCCCTGCTTTACTAGTCTCTCAGTCCATGCCATGATTTCCCCACTTCAGGCTGTGAGTCTTATAATGACTTCTGCAGCATGCTGAAGGCACATTGGAAAAGATACAGATGAAGCCAGGTCGATAACAAATCTCTTTTCAAACAATCATACCTTAGTGAAGAATGTTTAAGTGAAGCAGACACTTGCCGCCATAATTTGGTGGCAAATACTATTGCCCAATTTTAGTTACAATACAAGTGATCACCACAAGAGTTGCCGGAATATTATGGAGCCAGTGGGTAGCCTACTCCTGTTTTTTTTTATCTTTTTTACCAACTATCTGTCCACACGCTTCTTCCATCTCTTCAACTGCATTACTTATTTAAATTGTTAGGGAAAAAATCTATGAAGTCATTGTTAAGTCAGCCACATTGGCTTTCTAGAAACATAATTTCCTAGTCTGCAAAATTGTTTAATAATCTGAGGAAAATTGATGTATGCTGGAAAAAGATTTAGGGTTCAAAGGAAGTTTAAAACAACCTAAGATGTTCTCTGTAATGCTAGAACAGGAATAAGATAAGCTCTTGTTATTATGGTCAACCTAGTGCAGTTGATGGCTAAAATAAATCTACTCACCTCAAAGCCTAATGAGAAAAGATGTGGCACATGAATTCATCTACTTATAAAGAATACGAGTTTAAAGTAAGGTCTCTTTTGAGCTGAGCTTGGTTCCTGGTAAATCCATACGTATTTCATATAGTTATCCTGGCAATCTAAAGACTTCCTGGTGCCATTTTCCAGGATGATTTTCAGTTCCCCAGTCTAATCTACACTCTCTTGCTATTCCCAGGAGTGTTTCCATTCATGTCCTAATCAGGTGCCAGGCCTGGTTAGCTTCTAAACCTGGGCAAAATTAGGCAGGTGCTGCCACCTGTTGAGACCAGAATATTTTTTTAAACGAATCAAAACAATGTTCTATTGGCATTATTTTTTAAAGAACCAATTACAATTAAGAAAGCTGGTATTAAAAAGAACATTGAAATTAATTCCTTTTGATATTTCTTTCTCACTTTTTGAGATGCTTCAGACTACTCTGATCCAAAATGTCACTTCTACCATTATAACAGTGCAAGAGCCAATTCAAATTATGCAAGATATATCCCATTCTTTATTCTGCCAAAATACTTGTTTTCAGAAATGATTGTATTAGAGTATTAATTGGCTTAGCCACCATGCTGGCTGAAGTCAAATGCTTTTAAATCTAGCAACAGCTGTGTTGGGTAGGAACAAGAAGAGAGACTTTTAAATAAGAAATGCTGGCAAAAGGTCAAGTTTTTTGAAAGAAATTTGAACTATATATAATGCAATTGAAGAGGTAGGGAACAGAAGTCTGAATAAATAGCTTTCAAAATTTGGTGGCAATCCAGCACTATTAAAATCAATAGGAAATATGGCTTAACTTGAAACTATGGTCAACTAACAATAAAAATCTATGAACAAAAAATTGTAAAATCTGTTTAGTTCTTTAATCTTACTCAAATGGAACTATTTAAATAAAACATACACATCTATTTTAGCAATTCCAAAAAGCCAACCTTAGAATTTCCGTTCATTGAATGTAATTTCTCATATACTGAACTCAGAAGAGATAATGTAAATAAAAGATTTAGAATATATCTTATAGGAAGGCTGCTTTTCCTTCCTGTGTATGTTTTCATATACACGCGTGCACATACAAATCTGTCACATACAGACATTTAAGGGACGGGGAAAAGGAAATACTAGAATTGATTTCAGCTGAATATGATCCTAAGTTGACAAGCTGAGAAAACTAGACACTGCAGAAAATGTTTGTTTTGATTCTCTCTATTCTTGTTTTCCTTTGAGAAGCCTATAATGGTGGGAAAACTGTAAGGAAAGTGAAGAAGATGGCTAGCTGCAAAGTAGATGAAGTTGATTACACTGGCAATGAATGGAAGACCTGAAGAACTGGATTGGGAAGAGATCATACAGGATATAATTGAAGATGTCCAAATCCAGTCCACTTTAATTCTCTAATGCTTGAGATCTCAATGTGTAGTAGATCATTTAATCTTTCACTGTGCTGAGTTGTTCCATATTCATGTTTCTTACATTCCACATTTCCACTATAATTCTGTCTTTTTAGCTTGAAAGTTTCTTCTTCTGAAAAGTAACATCAGAAACAAGATATCCCAAAGGCCATCTAGCCACACCATAAACATATGCCCTGAAAGATCCTCACCTCCTCCTCAATAGCATGCTAACCACCATCCAATCTGAGGGGCTCATCATCCACACTATATTGCCAATCATTTTATATTTTCTATTCATGTAGTTTTCCATGAGAGTATGAAAGGATGCCTTTGTTGTTGTTACTAAAGTGATAATTTCTGTTTCCAGTATCTTCCTATGCCAGTTCTGCTCAATACAGGTGTCTGCCTACCTTAATGGGGTAGCTAGGAGGACTTTTGTGCCTTGGATGACTCTTTAAGGAATGTACACTCTTGGCATACAGTCATAATGTTCTTCACTCATCCTTTTCAAGAACAGTTCCATTGCAATGACTCAGCACAGCAGGACTTGTAGGATTATGAGTAGATTAATCTAATAATTAATTACACACACTTCCTGAAATTCAGGGTAAAACTGCTTTTGGGCAAATATGATGTCTGTATAAAAGGGGAAGCTGTGAACGAATGATGCAATAACTATACTGAATAAAAATGTTCAATATTGGAGTGGCTACCTGAGAGACTACCAGGGAATTAGCTATGAATTGAGTTACACGATAGAAGAAAGGAAGGATATAAATGGAAAAAAAGAAGCATGAATCAGGATTAAAGTGTTAAATTAGGAACATAGAGATTCAGGTTTAACTTCCTTGTTGGCCAGATAAACTTCCTGGATAATGTGAATCTAGTCACCACTACCCAA